CACAAATTTTAATATATTATACGGATTCCGAGATAATTTTAAACAAGAAACATTCAAATTTTAATGAAAAGTCATTCAGAACTTCGATTTCAACAAACATAAAGTCAAACACGTCGGCTTGATGAGATGGAAATAGAGGTACTAAAATTGGTCTGATCCAACTCAAATCAAGCAGTTAAAACAACATTTGGAAGCTTTACTATCATAATTGAAAGGTCTGACAAATTCTCAATATGACATACTTATAGTCAAATGGAACTTCTCGGCAAGTTAATTCCAACGAGCCCAAGATTACTCAATTTTGACTAATGTACTAAAATGTCTATCAAATATCATTCGATTAAGAGATTTATTTGGGCTACTCAATTAAGAGTGGTTTGGATTCATAGATAGGGTAATGAATATATTCATAGATAGGATTGTGTAGCTCCAGTGGTGGACAAAATGAAAGAGTCAATGGTTTTACATACATATCACTAAATTCCTATGTATATATAACACTTAAACTTTGCATTTTAATTTAACTTCCTATGCACAAGTAAGGTTGTATGTTTGAAAAAAAAAAGAAGTTTAGTTGTAGGATATGTATTTGCAAAAGAATTAAGAGTTAAATTTTCTATCTATAGTTAAGGCTTAAGCCAATAAATGATCCACATTGTGTCAAACCGAAATTTAGTAGGATCGATCCACAATCTGATTTCACACGTATGGTAGGTCTGTGAATTTAGGGCTTAGTGTTTTTAAAATTTATGTTATATATATTTGGAACTTAGGACATTTAAAGTTTATGTCAAACATGTGTTACGTAGTGTAAGTCTGTGAATTTAGCTAGAACAACGACAATCACTCCAAAATTAATTTTGGACCAAATCTCGAACCCTTTCACAGATATATTTGTTTTTTTATTATGTTTCCAAGTGTAAAACCAATCATAGAACTAATCATTCTTATCGTTGCAGCCCTTTCACGATTAATTTCACACATCAAAATATTTTTTTTAAAAGAAGATATTTCATATGATGTAAAGAGTATTCACTATTTCCTCCTTCATGAGGCTAATTTCTATTTCAAAAATGGAAATTGATGTTCAAATCTAATTTACCAGTTCCAAAATGTAAATTCACATCAAAATTTCAATTTTCATTGTTGCATACCCATTGTGGCAATGTATATGAGATTTCTAAGTGAATTTCCATTTTGTATATGACAAATTAGATTTTGAAGTGAATTTTTCATTATGGGAATGAAAATTAAACTTCGCTTTAGAACTTCCAATGAAAACTCTTATATCATATGAAATATTTTCTTTTAAGAACATATTTCGAGGTGTGCACTTAATCGCATATGAGGTTTGTGAAGACAGGAATGCTTTGATTAATGATTGGGTTTGCTTAGAAAATAAAATATGAAAGAAATAAACTCATTCTAGGTTTGGTGTAACTATGATGACAGACAATAATAGATCCAAAAATTTGAAATAATTTAGGACAAATTAGCAATCTTGGATAGCCCTAACGACCTCAAGTAAGTTGTTAATATTTTGACTTTGAGCTTAATTGTCATCAACTTGAATGAAATTTGATTTAAAATTTTTTGCTCAAACTTAGATCGTTGATTGTGAAAAATTCTTTACTCGAGCCAAAATTAAAATCATTCAATATTCAACAATTATCATTGTTTGAGCTATCTAAAATGTTCACTTCTTTTACAATATGATGATTATTATTAGATTTGATCACCTTTTGTTACAACTTTGTTATTGGATCTGCTACAAGTCAGATCATTAACATTATAGTAATGTTAGTTCTGTCGTAGATCATTAATCGATCAAACATTGATTTACAATCCATTAAAATGTCTCCCTCTAATATTGTATGTCATTATAGCTACACTAGCTCTGTTGACCTCATTTTTGGTGAGATATGTCTCCGCCCCTATGACTTATGCTATAACCTAAGGACTCTTCTGTTGCCTATCCTTGAGGACTAGTGATTGGACCCATCCTTTTAGGTGTTCTAACCACTTTTTAGCTTTTTTTATGTAGTTTCACAAGGATGTTCTCAAACCCTCAACACTTTGTTGAGTTGGTTTGTATCAAGACGAGGAAGCTCAAATATGAGTTCCTATAAAACCATGAGGCCTTAGGAAAACTTCTTATGACTTGACCACTCACTTCACTCACTTCACTCACACATGCACCACACTCATAATCCTTATCTACACAATTACACCACCACATTTCACCATACACATTACAATATTTACCTCCATGCCCTACACTCCATCACTACCCTTACACCACCCAATTTCCACCAAAGTTCATCAAATTTCCCAAATTTCCCAAACTAACCTCAACAAAATCCTGAACAAAATCCAACAAGACCACTCCCAACCACCAATTTCACACAAAATTACCAAAATTTCCAAAATTAACAAATTGACCCAATTTTCATCAAACTTACTAAATTGACCTACTTTCCATCAAAATTACCAAGTTCACTTAACTACCACCAAAATTCAAAATTAAATCCAATCCCATCCAATTTCAAGCCCAAATCCAAAATTGCCCAAGTTCTAACCCAAACTCACCCCAAGTCCACCCTAAGTCCAAAATCCACCAAAATTGAGACCTCATGCCAAATCCAACTTCGCCAAGTTCATGTCCCAAAATTCATTTTAAATTCCACCAAGCCCATCATGAAAAAATATTAATACCATCAAACCCAGATCCAAGGTTCATTAAGCCCAAAAGCTTAAATACAAAAACCCACCAAAACCAAGTCCAAAATCCAAATTCAATTAACATAAAATCCTCATGAAAAAGTTAGCCTCCCCCTTTATCACATTAAAGCTCAATCAAGCCTAAGGATTAAAGTATCATGATTTAAATTGACCAAAATTGATCTCATGAAAAACATTTTTCAAAGGATCAAATTCTCACCCCTCCTCTTTCATGCAAGCCATGTGGGCTATGTATGAGCCATAGGCAAGCCATATGACTTCATCTAAGCCAAACAAAAGCAATAAAGCCATGCACAAGACTCATGTGAGCAACAATACCATTTATGTTTAAAGAATAACCCCCTTTCAAACTCCCTTAAAAGCACTCAAACATACACATGCTTCACTACAACTCATGATTAAGCCCTAATCTCTGTGATAGAGACTTAACCATTCATGCTCCAAGGCTAACCACAAGACATAGCCACCTTGAAGGCCGCCCAAACATATTTCCATGAGCCTAGCCTAAGTGAAACCCAAACCTAGCCTAAAACCCAACTTTTTAGGTGGAACATTACACTAGGCCCTGAAACTCAACAATAATCACAAGTTCAAAAATAAAACCTAAACCCAAAATATCACATCAAGAAGTTTGGACTAAGATACATGTAGATTGAGGACGACTTCAGATGTCGATCAACACATAGCAATGAAACGGATTTACTTCAGCAAACCTAGCCTAAATCCAAAATATCACA